GCTAACAAGTGGTGTTAAAAAACAGACTGAGGTTTCACAAGTGGTTGTGCGGCTCACTTGTTAGTGCTGAGCAGGTGAGACTAAACATAAAGCCGTTGCTTATTAGTCTTTATTTGGACGCTAAGCAGAGTTTGCAAACTGGTTACACCAGGGACAGAGCGTGTTTCTAATCTGACCTGTCATTTACCCACGGAAAGGGGCTCCCGCGGAGCTCCCGGACGCCCGGTGCAACAGCGCTGCTGTAAGAAACGAAAACGAGGTCACGAAGTCCAGAGTCTTGTACGAAAAATGTTTACAGGTTGGAGATCACCAACCGGCGAACGCGCTCCCGGGCGTCGCGTGGGTGGGGCCTGGCTCCGACATTGGCTACGTACAGAACCTGCTGCGCTGACCTTAGATAAAACTTCTTAAATTTATTTGAAGATGATTCTTAGGCATATCTACCCACAAACATTTTTCAAGGAGGTACATACCAGGCGAGTCCTAGCACCTTTCCAACTCTGATAAGTGTTGCACGTATTGTAAGTTTCCACTGCTTTTTAAATAACTTTTTACATTTTTGAAGTTTTCCTATAACATGTTATAAGTGTTGTTTTTCTGATCATGTAATTTAGCCTTAAAACTAGAACTGGATCATTTGTTAAAAACAGGAATGAGAAAGACATTTGATGATGTTTATAATGTATTTGATAAAACGCAGCGCGGGAAGTTAATTTTTTTTTTCGCCAATCCCATTGGCCAGAACTTAGTTTCTTTCTTTCTTTCTTTTTTTAATTAATATTTTTATTGATTTCAGAGAGGAAGGGAAGAGAGATATAGAAACATCAATGATGAGAATCATTGATCAGCTGCCTCCTGCACGCCCCCTACTGGGGATCAAGCCTGCAACCCGGACATGTGACCTTGACCGGAATTGAGCCCAGGACTTTTCAGTCCACAGGCCTGATGCTCTATTCACTGAATCAAACAGGCTGGGGCCAGAACTTAGTTTCTTGACCCCACCTAGCTGCAAGGCAGGCTGGGAAATGTAGTCTTTCTTCTAGGCAGCCATGAAGCCTGCCATGGTGTGAGAATACCGGGGAAGAAAACTAGTAGTACCTGCCCCAGGAAAGGCCGGAGGGAATCTATCACGAAGTTCCTTCCTTGGGCTCCATTTCTCAGCCTCCCACGCTGCTCTCTGTGGCCAGTTCTTGTGTACAGAATCATGAGCCCAAGCTCAGGGAGCCGGAGACAGGTACCCACAGTCCAGCCTGCTCCGTAGATCCCAAACACTATTCAAGTGATAAGATGGTATTATTCTTTCCTTCCCCCAGGCAAGCTGCTCCTCACATGACCGGCTCTGGTCAGTCAGAATCAAATGCCTGTAGCCAGTGCTTTCTTTGGGCTCTGAAGGCTGGGTGTGTGTCTAAAGCAGGGGTTTTTATCTTGTGTGTTGTTCACCTTTGGCAAAAACAGAACCCAGTGTAACGAGCACTCCAAGCCCCCAGATTACAGTCAACAATTCAAATGAAGCAGGTTTGCCCCAGCTGGTTTGGGGACTGAAGGGTCCTGGGTTCTATTCCGGTCAAGGGTACATGCCCAGGTTGTGGGCTTGATTCCCAGTAGGGGGTGTGCAGGAAGCAGCCAATCGATGATTCTCTCTCATCACTGATGTTTCTATCTCTCCCTCTCCCTCTCCCTCTCCCTCTCCCTCTCCCTCTCCCTTCCGCTCTGGAAAAAAAAAATATATATATATATATGATAAAATAAATAAATAAAGGAAGCAGGTTTCTTAGAGAAATGGCTGATCCCAGATATGGGCCAGGAACAGCTCCCAAGAGCCCAAGATGGTATCATTGGACCATCAGGAAGATTAAGATAAGAGTACCCCTAATTTCCTCTGGGAACCACTCCTCTCCTATTATTGTTCATTTTCAGTGGTTTGAGGTTGACGTCCCTGCCTAGCTCTGAGGAGGTGGCTTGAATGGCCTAATCTAATTACCATGCCCCTGGCAACCTGGAGTGATTGGCTCGGGGATGGGCCGTCCAATGGGAGGTGAGCCTGAGCACTTTGAATAGGAATGCTGGGACTCAGACTCTGCTGGCCTCGCTAGGAGGGCATCAGCCTTGCGATAGATAACTGGTCATTTTGTTACCACAAGGGCAGCCAAGCTGAGGATGGAAGCCCGTCTACCAGAAGCAAGAGATGCATCCTAGTGAAGTCACTTGAGTCTGGATCAAGCCATTCCTGAAGCTCCTACTGCACTACACTACATCGTTATGTGAATCAGTACTTTACCTTTTGTTTAAGCCAGTTATAATTAAGCTTTCTGTCACTTGCAACCCCTGAAGTCTTATTTGAAACACAAGGATTAAAGGGCAGAATGCGTACAAATGGAATTCAGCGAGCGTTCTCTAAACATCTGCCCTGTGCCAGGCCTTGTGCTAGTTTCTGGCTTCCCAGAGATGGTATAGCCACTGCCGTCCCAGAACTTAAGCACAGAGTAGAGGTTCGTCAGATGTAACTTTCCCCCCTTTGTCACGCAAAGGCCAACAGGCATGGCCTCCTAGGGGATTCTCAATGCACACTTACTGAAGCAAACAACGATCTGAAGCTTCCGCTGGCCCAAGTCCCAGGAACCAGGAGTGTCAGGCTGTAGGTAGCTTGTTCAGGTTGAGGCTGTTTGACTGGCAACACCCAGTAGCTGAGATGACCCCACCCTCCCTCGAGTCCTTTCTGCAGGGAGGGGAACTGCCCCACAGCCTGGGGTGATCAGCCCAATTGCCAGACCCCTAGCCAGACCTCAGAAGCTCAGGCCACTGCTGCTTCCAGAGAAGGGGGTCAAAAACAGGACCCCACCGTGCAGGTTATCTTGTTCTGAAGGTTTTTGAAGTCAGGCATCCTTTGAGAATCTGAGAGAAGCTACAGAACCTCTCCTCATAAAAATAAATAAAAATGCACATACATGTTGCAATTCCAGGGGTTACAGGCCCCTTGAAGCTACCTTATGAACTCAAGCAAGAAAGCTCTACGGTTCCCTCCTCATCTAAGGTCCTGTGAATCTCTGGATTCTTGGTTTGTTATCATCCCTGCAAAGTTCTGTTCCTTCACTGGAAGAACATGCTTGTCTTAGTCTGTGTGGGCTCCTGTAATACAACTAGAGGCCCGATGCACGGAATTCGTGCAGGAGTGGGCCTTCCTTCCCCCAGCTGCTGGCACCGGCTTCCTTCCAGCACCTGGCAGGCACCTGGGACCCGAGATTCCCTCGCAGCCCCAGCGTCCGGAAGGACATCTGATCTAATTAGTATATTACGCTTTTATTATTATAGATAGGCCAGGGGGCTTACAAATGACAGGAATGGATTTCTGGGTCATTGGCTTGCCCATTTTGGGGAGCAGAAACCACATGGGGTGCAGTTGGGTGTGGCAGAGGGTATGACATGCCCTCTAGTCATTGTATTTGCATTAAACCGGAAGCTGCTTGACCCAGGCTGGGGAGTGGGAGGTGTTTCTCAGCTCTGCACTACCCAGAGCGGGAGTGGAAGGTGCCCGGCCAGGGCTGCCAGGGCTGGCAGTAAAGCCTGGGCCTTGTTTACTCTGTCTCCTGGCCATCTGCCCTGGGCCCTTCAGCTCCTTGGCAAACACACCAGGTTCCCGGTGAGGGTCACAGCCTCCCAGGTGGGCCGCCACGCTCAGCTCAGTCCTTTGTGGACCAGCGGCAGCTGCATTCTCCTCCCCACAAAAGGAGGGTCAGATCTTAGTTAGGACACAGCCGGCAGAAGCCAGGGCAGGCAAACCTAGGCTATTTAGGGCAGGTAGGGGGACCGGGACTATAGCAGGGAAAGGACCAGGTGATGCTTGGACCAGCCCACTGGGCAGGACCACCCAGGGAGCCCCCAGGGGAGCAGAAAAATGACCGCCTCCACATCTGAGTGGATGCCTCTGAGAGGAGGAGGGGACGTGGGAAAAGAATTCCTATCGACACACGGGTGGGGGGGGGCGAGGTGGCTGGCCCTTCTGCTTCAGACACCACCCCAGTCTGGTGACCGAACCACACACAAACCGACCATGGAAGTTTGAAAGAGATTTATTTAAAAACAGAACAAAAGAAAGCTTTGGTATTTCAAAACCAACAATCAGCAATCACTAGAAAGTTAAACACTTCCCCTGAAGCCCAGAAATACAAAACACAGATCTCCACGGGCTCACTGGAAAGGGACTGTGCAAACCCGAGGGTGACCCGAGGCCCAAGCCCTCCCCTCAGGCCACCCCTGCGGCGAGCTCAGAAACCACCACCAAGAATCACTGTCTACAGTGGAAGAAAACGCCATCCAGCAAAATCTCAGCAATAAATTAAAAATTCAGTCAAGAAGGAACACATTAAATTAGGAAAAAGCCCACAATTTTTCCTAGACAAGTCTTTTCAAAAGAGGTCTAGGTCCTGGGCACAGGAAAGGGGGAATGTGGAAGGAGTGAGTTCAATTTCAAGTATTTTCCATATGGGTTCATTTTATTGAGTCGAAAGCTTACAAAAAGTCCACTGGCCCCTCCCCTCCCGCTCCCCAATGCGAACTCCTGACCATCCACACGCGCTTCTGCGTCACTGGTGTCCCCAACAAGGCACAAAAGGGTGGGTGCTTTCAAAGGATCCCTTGTTCGTAGCAGCAGGAGTGTCAGTGCTGGGTGTCTTGTGCAATTGGTGGCTGAAAGCAGGGCTGTTGGTTCACTCAGACACTGGGATCTTCCTGTTCAATTAACAAAACAAGTTGTTACTGCCCGCCGCCAACCCTGTGGACAGCTACAGGAATACTAAGGGAAGCCGGCCACGGAGACCGCCCTGGTGGCGCCCCAGCCGGGCTCTGACCTGGAGTGGCAGACAGCGCCCGGCCCAGGGAGCGGCTAGAACTACTATGGACCCGGTGGTCGGGGACTCCTTGGGCCGGTGCAGTGACCACCGCTCTGCTGTGGTGTGGCCAGCTCTAGCACAAGTCAACTGAGGGGCAGGGGGCAGTGCCCCATGAAGGCAGTTTGGCTTGTCCCCTGACTATGTGGGGAACCAAGGTGAACGGGTGTATGCCACTTTAAGAGCAGAGAAGCCCACCAACCAGCAGGGAAAAGCAGCCTGGTGCAAACAGAGGCTGCCACCCACGTGCAAACCGCAGCTGTTCTACTGCGGGCCCAGAGGCTCACCCACCAGATGGTGTCTGCACATTTCTTTTTGATCTGACTTTCAATTTGTTCTTCAAGCTTGAGGAGCTCAGACCTGCCTCCCACCCTTTTCCCACTCCTTCAGGTCGAATGCTCCTTCCTTCTCCAAGTCCCGGCCGCACAGCCCTCGGGGGAGGTGATGCGGCATTTCTCCTGCGTTGGTCCCTGGCCCTTTAACTACTTGAGAAGCAGACCTAGACCTTCATCTTCCTCTCTACTCTCAGTCGGAGAGGAGGGCGGGGCAACAAGCTCCCCCCTAGCGCTTCCTCCTGTGACTGCCAACAACAGACCCCCTCCTGGTCTCTCTCCCAGGAAATCCTGGTGGTGAGAAAGCAGACGACTGGCTGGGTGACAGGACAGGAGGCGGCCTCCCCTGAGACATCAATCCTGATGTCCTGAGATCTCGTCCAGGTACGAGCCCACAGCGACTGGGGTCAAAATCACGGCTCCACGGGCACAGCCGTCTGAGGAACTGAGGGGAATGGCCTTGTCTGTGCTGACAGATGACCCCCTGGCCCACAGTGAGGGCTGCCCGGGTGAGGATGGGGGTCCCACCAGCAGCTTAGACAGAGGCCTCAGGTTAATCTAGGGCTTTGCTGCAGTTATTTTCAGATGCTGAGATTCATCTGGGGTGGGGGGCGGGGGGAGACAGCTGCCAAGGTTGCTGGGAGGCCAGCGGGCTCATCCATCCGCAGCTGTCCCTTCCTATGGTCTCCTTTCAAAAGTCACTTTTTAATTTTAATGTCCTTTCAAAACATACTCGCTCCTGTCTATGAGTTAAAGGCTGAGGGCACTGGCTTAGAGGGCACCCCATGACTACCCAGGCCTCACCCCATCCTAGATCAGGACAGAATGCAAGGCCGGGGCCTCGGGCTTTATACCTTACTCCTGAAGAGGGGCTTGGCCCCAGGCCCACAGTACTCATTGTAGATGAGCTTGAAGAGGAAGAGGTGGAAGAGGGTGATGAGGGAGGCCACGCTGAACCAGAAGAGGAAGGGCAGCCCGGGGTCCTGCTGGGCCATGTGCTCGTCGTGGGCCAGGATGGCCTTGAGGTGCAGCGTGTGTCGCAGGTCCTGCAGGTGCGTGAGGTCGGTGGAGATGTAGAGCAGGGGCGTGATGGGCTGCGTCACCATGACTGGGAAGGTGTGGCCCTGGGGCGCCGAGGTCAGCTCCACGGGCTCCTCCAGGCAGCCCGCTTCGCAGGCGTAGATCTTGACGGGCTGGCCGTGGGACTCCACGGACACGTGCAGGTATGGCTTGCCCTCGGTGTCCGCGAGCACGGCCAGGTTGATGTGGTCGTTCTTGTAGCGGATGCCATGCAGGGCATAGCTGTTATGCAGCACTTCCGGGTCGGCCTGGAACTGGAGGTGGTTCTCGGTGAACTGCAGCCCCCCGAAGCTGAGCACCATGCCCTGCAGGATGCCTGGGGCGCCCACCTTCACCAGCCCCTTGCAGCCGCGCTTCTGCAGGGTCAGCTTCCACAGGTCGGAGAGCTGCAGGATCTGCTGGATGGAGGACAGCCGGCCCGGCCAGAGGTTCTCGGCATGCATGGTGGCGTGGCCACTGAAGCAGTGATCTTCATAGTTGAGCGTCGACTCCATCTGGTCTCGCTCCCTGTGGCTCAGGCTGGGGCTGAGCAGTGGGGCTGTTGAGCAGGACAGCATGTAATAGAGGGTCAGGTTCACGGTCAGGCCAGACGGGGTGTGGGCATCTGTGATCTTCTTCATTTCCACACCTGTAATGCCACCAAGATTGCACGTTAAGGAGGATGGCATGGTAGGAAATGGCGAGCACGAGCAGCAGAGACACAAAGTTTCTGTCCCGAGGGATGAAAATGGCAGATCCAGTTTCCCGGGAGTAAGACAGCGTCATCCTGCCTGGCTTCCTCACGTGACTGACTTGAGCCCTGTGGGCCCGAAACCTAAAATCTTATTAAAAGGCAGTGGCGCCTCCTGCCAGAGCCCCAAAGAGCACAGACAGAGCCAGACCTTGGCACCAACCATATGGAGTCAAGTAAAAAGTCCCACTCCAGGACACTGTCACTCACAGTGACAGCCCTGGCCAGCCCTGGGCTTCTCCACTCCATCATCTCTCTCTCCAGTCCTGTAGCTTTTTGAAATTTTTTATTGATTTTAGAGAGAGAGGAAGGGAGAAGG